AAAATTTAAATATTAAAAAAATTAGTAAAAATCTTCGCAGGCAAATTTGCCTGTGTTACAATTTAAGGGATACATATTTGATCGGTTTAAACCTGAGATTCATTGTATTGCAAATAGTGATGCAATAAATAGTGATACAATAAATATTGATGCAGTAAATAACTTAAAATTTATTAAGGTTAATATGTAAATTATTGACATAGAATAAAAATTGAATAAACAAATTTAAGACATTTATTCATTATCAAAAAACTGGCAAAAATAATATAACAACTCGTAAATTTTTTTCAATATAATTGTCATAGATAGAGATATAACCTGACTTGTATTACATTTATTATTAAATAGAGTTAATTGATTTATTAGTATCTCTAATTACAGAAACTCTTAAATTCAAAATAATATATCTAATTTATTCATAATATAGTTATATTTGAGAATGATCTAAAGTATCAATATAATTATATTAAAATAGTCTAATATACATAAGACAGGATTATATAGAATGATTTTAAGTATCAATTAATTATATTAAAAATGGTCTAATGTATATTTATATAAAACAAGATTACATACTTTGTAATTTAATCATAAATTGATCATTATATTTATCATCATATTTATCATTATATTTATTATTATATTTATATCATTTTTGTACATGTATAAAGAGATCATATTTTTTTCATATTTATTTTTTATTTAATTCATATTTTTTTTTCATATTTATCTTTTATTTAATTCATATTTTTTTTTCTATTTACCTTTTGCCTGATTCATAATTTTTTTTTTCCTAGTTTACTTTTTACTTTATTGTTTTTTTACTCTTATAAATACATTGTCATACTTTTTAAATCATATTCATTTCTATAAATGAATCATTATGAGCTGAAGAACTGAAAATATGACTTATCCCACTATTGCTAATATCTACACATATGTAAGTAACCTCACAAAGGTTACTTTAGAACTTTCCACTAATACACAATAATTAATCACAAAGCTTCTTGAATTCCAAATAAATCAAGAAAAGGCAAATACTAAGTTCTTAACTATATTAAATAAGATTCAAATTAAAAAACTTGAAAATTCTAAATATAGCACTAAACTAGATCATAAACTTAGCCAAATAGCAAATATATTAGTGAAAAAATTACTGAAGAAGAAGTAATGTAACTGGATTTGTGAATGAAGTTGTTAATAAAGCTTTTGATAAAGTAATGAGTGAAATTAACAAAAGTATAGAAAAAGCTTTAAATGACAATTATATTGATAAAGACACTGAAAAGGTCTTTAATTGTACAGAAGATAGCTGACCAATAAAATAAACAAAAAAAAAATCTTATTACCTTTTAGTTTTGAGAGAATAGATTCATATAAAAATTAATCAGCATTTAGACTAGGCAAAAAATAAACAAAAAAGAAAATTCAGCATTGTTAAGGATATTGGACATGAATATGTCTATAATCTAGAAGAAATGGCACTCCATAATAGAGATGTCACTGAAGAATATGTAAAATTTTTCTTGCGAGAATTGAAGGAAAATTCAAAAACTTGTATGCTAATTATTTAGTCTTACCTTGCTAGATTTACTACTATTGTTTTTGAATTAGCACAATAAGAGAATTTGTGAATTATATAAATCCTGCATATTACCATTGTTTTTACAATAGTAATATGCAGGATTCATACAATTCACAAATTCTTTTATCATGCTAATATATTAATTTTTATAAATTTTTTTATTTTTTATTTATTTTTTTAGCTAAAAGAGAAATATGGACAGTATTGGATATTTAAAAAATATATATTGCATATGTTACCTATTTGTGTAAGTAACACTTTTTGTTAGATAGTAAACAAATAAATTGCAAGAGAATGTTATTGCACTTCATCGTAGCCAATGCTGCTGTAGAGTAAGTATTTTTTATTATTTTTTTTATTTTTTTTTTTTAATAGTAACTACTTCAGTCTGGGAATATACCAAATTTGGACAATGTAGATCGCACCTTTTATAGTATGCCGGCGTCGATCAGAAGATTCCA